TGCTCATTGGAGGTTAATTTCACCACTAGGGGAAGTCTTGTTCCTTTTTCAGTACCAGAACATTTTCGTAATTTTACCCCTTAGGGCTATTTTAGGTAACGTCTTATCCAAATATTCTCGGTACTTAACCTTAAAAGAAATTAATCAAAATATCGGATCTTGAAGTTAATTCATTCCTTATTGAATCACCGATCTTATTATTATTACTTCCGATTGATCTTCCACTTTCTTAAGCGAGCCATATAAGTCATATTCAGTTACTAACTTTTTATAGTACTCGGATCGAGTTTAGGAAATAATCACTACATACATGTGACCAATTATACTCATTCATGCATAACTTATACTAACATGTTCTATAAAGCATGAAACAAGTAGTAATGTATTACCTCCGTTTCCGTACCATATCGATTGACCATTTAAACTCAATTTGATCGCCCTCGAATTTGAATTCAACGTCTAATAATTCCTCGGATACATAGAACCCAAATTTATGTCAAAAACTGAACTTAATTGAGAAACCATATTGAATCTGAAGGTAAAACATTGAAAACAGCTTACTGGGTGCGAATTTGGTAAAATCGACTTCGAATTCGGGCTCATGACGTCAAAAAAATAAAATAGGGATTTTAAAAAAAATAACTTTTCGGTCAAAGTTAACGGGTTCACTCGGACGAGTTGACTTGGACAAGTTGTCTTAAATCGAGTTGACTCGGTGGTCGGATTGGGCAGACGGGTCGCGTTGACCCGGTTATGGAATTTCCCCCGGGCTAAAACAAGCCCCACTCACAGGAGGTGGCGCGTAACACCGGCGGCAGGCTCGGGGTTACCGGTCGAACACTCCTTTAGCATCCAAACATCCAAACAACATCAATTAAATCCAATTTTAGGCCAAAATTGAAATTAAAACTAATTATGAAGGTGACCGATGACTTACCTTTGGTGACCGAATGGAGGAGAGATGGAGGACTGATGAACCCACCTAGGTTTTGATCGAAAACGCAAAGGGAATTGTAACATCCTCAATACTGAGTTAGTGACCAAATTGTAAAATTTCAGAATTTGGTGATAAAAGTAGAATAGTTGAATAGTTCAATGATTTATTTGGAAATGTTTCCTGAAAGTTATTAGTAATTATCATAGGAATTAAAGGAAAAAATGGTCATTTGACAAGAAAGATATTTTTCCTTGATAAATATGAATCACGTGGGGGGGGGGGAAAGTTATCTGAAAACTCTCTTTTTCTTCTTCTTTCTTCTTCTTCTTCCTCTCATCCCGTATCTCCAAGCTCAAATGTGAGTTTTCTATTTAGTTAATTTCTGGTTAAATTTAAGGTTGGGTTATGATCATTAGATGATAATTAAGCTTAAAGAAAGCTTAATTTTTTCTAAAACAAAAAGATGAAAGGTATAGAAAAGATTAAAAAAAATGGGGTTTTAGATGAATTTCTGGAAAAAAGTTAATAAGTGAATTTTGAGAAGGAATTTGACTTGTCATCACTAAGAATAAGAGATTTATGAAGTTATAAATAATTAATAACAAAGTTAAAAGTTTAGTAAGATTCTTAATTTTAAGAATCATGATGAGATATGGAAGATAAAGATGGTTTATATAGATATAAGTTGGTTTAAGTAATGATAGTTGAGTTTAATGGCATGATAGGGGCTTAAAATAGAAGAATTGAGTGAAAAGTTGGTGATTTTCGGGCTTAAAAGGTGATTTTCTGGGCAAGGGGTATCGATACCCATTCAATAGGTACCGATACACTCTTAAACGAAATTTACAGATTTCAATAGGGGTATCGATACCCTAGGGGGAGGTAACGATACCACCATAAGAGAAAATGGAATTAAGCTTTTCGTTTCGTCCAAGAAATGAAAGTAACAATTTCTTTAGTTCAAGAAAGGAAAGATTAGAGTATATCAATTAGAATATTGATATGGATATATGTATTGTTATGTAGATATAGAACGTAATCCCGTTCCGGAACAATCAAAGAATTAGGATCAAGTCAAAGCAAACAAGGCTAAGGTGAGTGCAAATTTAATTTGTACTTATATTATCGAATGAACATTGGCTTGCGATGAGAAGTGACTCCTAAAATGTTATTTAATTTACAATACATGTATAAGTTATATGTGTTTACATGATTTATATGTATGAATGAGTATATGTGTTAACATGTTATTATGTATGTTATATGATTTGTATAAATATATGTTAGTGTGATAAGTCATATGAAACAATACAAATGATCTATATGATGCTAAAAGAATATGAAATAAGTTATGTGATAAACGCATAAGGAATGAAATGAACGTGTGAATATAAGATGACCAAGTATAAGTTATACTATATGGTATAAGTGAGTACACGAGAAAGGTTATGAAATTCTATAAGAACAATATTTAAGTTAGGAGACATAGACATAAGTGATTATATGAATATGTAAGAAAAGTTATATGGGAAATATATGTGAATGAGATATGATATATATGTTTATGTGAAACCATGCAAAGTGATACGAGCGATGTGACATATGAATATGAAATCATATAAAAAGTGACATGAATTACATGAAAGTAAACTACGTGATTATATGCACATGTGATATGTGATAGAAAAGAAGAAATATATGATTATAAGAGCAATAATATGAATTATAATGATAGTGCCCATGTTATGTGATATGAGAGCTAGTGGTATAGTTGGCATGCCAAGAGTCGAGGGTTTACCTATATTCTTCGGGACATATGGACAGTATTACCTATGCTTTTCGGGATATATGGACAGATTATTATACGATTTGTGGTGACAGCATAAGTGTGCACAACCTCTAAGTACTCAGATATCTTTAATTCTCACAAGTGTACCATGGGCTAATTAAAGAGATAACACAAATATAATATATGTGATGTATATGCTTTTGATGATATGAAATGTTACAGAAATTATATGATGATGTTTGTATTGTTTGGTTAAGAATGTTAGATACAAGAGCATATGACTAAGGGATTAAGGATAATGCTAAGAAGGTAAATGATGATATATGTGCATGTATGCAGTGGTTCTATGATGGGATATATGTTTTTATATGATATGAAAGTATTAATTATTTATGCATTGATTGTTTCACTAAGTCATCAACTTAGCGTGTGATTGTTTCACACGTAGGTTTGGAAAGAGAAAAAGAGAAGTAAAGAGGAACAAGACATGTCCGTTCTCCTTACCGAAGATCATATCATAAACGTAGTTGAATTACATGTATTTTGTTACATAGAATTTAGTTGGCATGTAATATAAAAGATTTGAATCCGATATGCTCTGATCGAGTTTTGTAATGTTTTAAACGTAATTATGTAAATGTTAAATGTATAGTTATGGAAGTTTAAGTATTTTGTGAGTTTTATATGTTTTGCCGAAAGTTACTGTAGCAAGGGTATCGGTACACTGTAGCAGGGTATCAGTACATTGTAGCAGGATATCGGTACCATTGTTTAATTCTGGAAAATTTTAAAATTCGATATTGTTCACGATACTATTCATTACTGTTCACAGTACTATTCATACAATATAATACTGTTCATACCGTATATTATTGTTCATAAAAACGTTTTTAACTTTTCTTTTTATAATGAAACATAATTTAATCGTATATTATTGTATTTTCTTAATATAAGTCCAAATGATCTGCTATTTTATAGAGGTAAAGGTTTTGAAATGTCAATGTGACATCTCAGACTCGTATCCGGGTCGGATACGGGTTGTGGTGTTACAGGAATACACCGGTGTGGGCAGTGCTTCAAATCGACACCTAGAATGACCAGTAAATTCGAAAAACCCAAGGGAATCGGGGATGGATTCGACGAAACGTCGAGCCTCTCTCATGGTGAACAATGCAACCAACTGACGAGGGGTTGACGGGGGTTAGTAAGTGACGACCAGGCGCGCTGATTGAGTCGGGCCGGAGCTGGTTTGGGAAAAGGGGTTATAGGGCTTTAATTTGGGGCTTGGTTTCTCGAGAAATTTCGGGTATCACCGAGAGGGGGTTATTTTTCACAACCCAACAAAAATGGGATAATTCGGGTTCAAGTCCCTGAATTTCCCAAAGTTCCATTAGTATTCATTATCTTTACGAACGACTATTAATAGTGAATGATATATTTGTCATAATTCAGTAACGTAAATGACCAAATTGTTATTTTTAAAACATTAATGGGAAAAAAGAAATTTACTTAAACATAAATAATCATAACTATTTTTTGAAGTGAGAGTTAAAGTAGTTGGTGAAGGATGTCAATGTGGCTGAACAATGTCAATTCAATTGTCCAAATGAGCCATATCAAAATTTTGTGATTGTAAGAATGACTGTTAATTACGAGTGATTAATTTATTATAATTCGATAACGTCAGTCACCAAATAATTATTTTTAAAACATTATTGAAAAAAATAAAAAAAAACTTACTTAAATAATAGTGACCATTTATATGGTTTACTCATAAAAGAAGAATGAAACAAAAGTGATTGTTCACGTATTTTACTTTTATAATTGGGTAACATACACGTTTAGAACTCAAGTTATCAATTTTGATCCATTTTAGTATTTAAACTTTTAATTTTTTTTCAAAACTATACATAAATTTTAGTTGTTGTTTCATTTTAGTACATCGTTCAAAATTTAACGTTAAGTTTTAAAAATTGAAATTAAGGTGCTAAAACAGACCAAAACTGATAGTTTAGGCACTAAATGCGTGAAGTTTTTAATGGATGATACTAAAATGAAATGAAAACTGAACGTTAGACATGATCTTGAAAAAAATTAAAAGTTTAGATATTAAAACAGATCAAAAATAATAATTTAAGTATCAAATAGGTAGTTTACCCTTTATTATTTTATAGATTTTCCAAGAAAAATTACAAATAAACCGGCAGGAAAAAAATTCCACCACTTGAAAAGCAATAGAAATAAAGAATCTAAACATAAAACTTAAATACCAAAAAATAAACAAATAAATAAATTATTTTTATCAGAAATTAAAAGGGGGAAAAAAGAAATCTTATCCAACACTGTGTACTGAATTGAAGAACAAAAGAACCGCCGAAAATGGTTGCCGCGCTTCCACCATCGGCTTCAACTTTCAAACTAACGACGGCGGCACCATTCCCATCCCCACGCGCTCTCTTCCACGCTTTACACAAACCCCAAATTTCCATTATCCCACGTGCCACTCCCGACTCCGACGCCGACTCCCCAACCGAAACCGACTCCTCCTCCACCACATCAGCCGATTCCGACCCATTCGAATCCCGCCTCTCCCAAGTCCGCATCCGTTACCGAAGTGGAACAGGCAAGAAAGCGGAGCGCCGAAAATCGAAGAAATCCGGATCCTTATCAACTTCGTCATCGTCATCCTCCATCTACCTCCCTCCGGTGCCTTTAAAGGAGTCAGTTTCAAATGGATTGAAAGTGGATTTCGGGTTCAGCCCGTATAGCGAGAGAATAAACGGACGGATCGCGATTCTCGGGTTGACGGCTTTGGTTTTGGTGGAATTGGCTACGGGTAAGAGCGTGATAAGTTATCATACGCCGGCGATTATCTTCATTCAGATTTATTTTGTAGCTGCAATTGGGGCTTTGTTCGTTAAATACGAGAAAGAAAAAGTAAGTGTTTGGCCACCTTCTCAATCTTAGTTCATGTTTGTTCTGTACCTGCAGTTAATTAGCAAGTTATTTATAATTTTATAATGCGATGTCACCTTTATTTTCAACAAGAAATACAAATTTACTGAATCCTGCAATTTTTCTTTTGTATCTCATTTGTTTATATTTGTTCTTGGCTTGTAATGCTTGTTTGAGACTTGAAGAAAGTGGGAATGAGTTAGTGAATTACGATTAATTTGTTATGCATAATTTGTATAAGACGAGCATGGGATTTTTTTGCACGTTGTGCCTAAGGCTCGACAACATCGGATCTTTGATGCTCCTCTAGTGATGAACTGCAGTTGCATGAGATTCAGCAACCAGGGGAAGAATGTGATTCTGTTTTAGTTCTCTGGGTGCAAACACTTCGGTTGAATAAGCATTGGCAGGTACCATTTCATCTCTGGGTGCTGCTGTTTTTCCAGAAGGCCATTCCAGGTTTATCTGGATGTGGCAAAGGAGGATTATAATGTATAGGAATCGGGTCTCCAAAGGTTCATGTGCCGAAGAAGCTTTAAGAGAAGGTGATTGTGGTTTATTATGAATATATATTGTGTAAGATGTTCTAGTTTTTATCATTGATGAGTAATTGGAGGCGGCTATGATTTGGCCATTGTAGGTTTATTATATATCACTCTTGTGAGTTTATTATTTATCTTTAATCTTATTATTATACACACACATATGTATTGCCTTTTACTTCACTTGGACAAGCACTTTTTTTTAGCATTATGCCCTGGACAACACCAGACCTACGATGCTCCGGTAGTTTCATGATATTCAGCAACAAGATTGTGATGGTGTTATAGTTCGCCTTGCGCCAATATTTTTGTCCGATGCTTCAGTTGAATCATCAACTGTATCTCATGATTGGCTATCCCATGCTCTTCATGATACAGTGGAACACGATGCTTATGATTATTGGTAATTGGTTCGTGTATGGAAGGAGCCTCAACCCAAGGTGGAAGCAACACCTACATGAAGACCCTGATATTTTTTTAACCTTTCTTTGAATTTGCATCAGGAGTTTTGTCAAAGACTTCAGTTGAATCATCTGCTTTATTTTCGTTGATATCTGGCAACTTTGCTAGAGATGATCTGAGCCTGCTGTTGTTGGATATGATCAGAGCTATGATAACTTTCCCGTTAAGGCTGATGCTGCTGCTGGCTCTTGTCGGCATTGTCGTGGCTGCTCACCCGTTCAATGCAGTAATCTCTGGCCTGGTTCTGTTGATGAGCATCCTTCAAAGGTAAACCTTGAGAAGATTGGCTTTCTTTTTAAAAATTTTCTGGGAACTCAGCTCCCTTTGTTTTCTCTCACGAACTTGGTGGTGTAGTTTGGTCTTTAGTCTCTTCAATATTTATTGAACATGAAACCAGAATATTACAGTGATAGATGATGCTATAACTTAGTGTCATTGCTTCAAGAACAAAGCGATAATTGCACTGAAAACCCATACTAGTGCATTGATTTCTGAAGTAGATCAGATGCTCTCCCAATGCCACTTTCATGCACTCAAGATAACTTTTTTTGTGTCTTGATCCTTATTATACATAAAAATTAACACACGTACATGTTACACAAGTACAATTTTCTTTTTCTTTTCCCTCTTTTCACCTTGCATCTGAAGACATAAGTGTTCTATCACTAGCAACAAGATGACTTTCATTTATCTGAACATTTGCGCCCCTTGCTTCAGTTGAATTATCACGCTCTTCATGATACAGTAGAAGACAATGATGATTATAATTATTGGGATTCTGTTCATGTGTCAAAGGAGCCTCAACCCGAGGTGTTTGAGAATGGGAACTCTGATAGCCACTAGGATGAGCATCTCTTGAATGACCAGTAACACAAGCCAAGTGATCTGAAGCAACTTTGTTAATCAAAGACGAATCATTGTTTGCTGGATATGCTTTTGAAGGTGTAACTGTAACTATAGCCTGCACTTGTTCAAGATGATCGAAACTCTGATAACTTTTCAGAGGCCGATGCTGTTGTTGAAGATGATCAGAACTCGGAGAACATTTTTGAGGCTGATGCTGTTCTTGAAGATGATAAGAACTCTCATTACTTTATCAAGGATCCTGACACTATTGTTGGAGATGATTGGAACTCTGATAACTTTCCTGAAGCTGATGCTGTTGATGAAGATGATTGGAAGTCATCAAACTTTTCCGAGGCTGATGCTGTTGTTCAAGATCATCAGAACTCTGATAACTTTCCTGAGGAGTCCGATGCTGTTGTTGAAGACGATCAGAAGTCTGATAACTTTCTCGAGACTGATGCTGTTGCTGGAGGCGATCAGAACTCTGATAACTTTCCTTAGGATGATGTTGTTGTTGAAGATGATCAGAACTCTGATATCTGTCCTGAGGAGTTCAAATCAATTATTCGAATCAATAATTGATTAGAATAAATTAGGATTAATATTAGAGATTCCACTTAATTAGAGCCTTAACCTTAGTCTTTTCACACTTTAGTCCTTGAACTTCTAGTTAGATATTTTCATTTGACATATTAATTAGGTTAATTAGAGCCTCCACTTTAGGTTTAATTTCACCTTAGTCCTTTAATTTAGGGAATAATTCGATTTGGCTTTTGCATTAAGATTCCCGATGGTTCAAATCAATTATTTGAATCAATAATTGATTAGAATAATTTAGGATTAATATTAGAGATTTCACTTTCTTGTTTAATCCTTTAAGTTCTTTAATTTTCATAATTTGATACTTTAGGATAGAGAAAACCTTAATTAATCGCGTAGTTTAATCAGGTACAATAAATGGATTGTTTGATTGCATTCCAATTTTACAACTAAGGCAATGTTAATTTAGCAAGGAATTAATGGTATAGTTCTTGCAATCATGCTCTGGGGGCGACTATTGGAAATTCCTGAAGTAGATGAACATCATTTTCAAAACCTTTTATTTTTAAAAATTTTGAGGCAATATCTGGTTATTGGGCGCAATAATTGATATCCCACATTCATGTTAGGGGTGAATATTATTAGCTTTAATAGACGAGCACCCTCTTCAACTTTGCATCCATAGTGATTTCTAAATTAAATAAAACTTTGAACTCAAAATTTCTAATTTTAAATATAGGGTAATCAACTAGGTACTGATTTTTTGGTACTGTGTGAGTGCTAATCTTTCCCCTATGCGTAACCAACTCTCGAATCATTTTTTTGGTTTTTGTAGACCCTAAACTTGGCATTTTGATAAAAAAAATATTTTATTAAAATTTCTCGGTTTTTATGGTGTGCCGATCGCATCTTAAAATGATTGGTGATGACTTTTAACATTTCAAAAAAAATTCAAGAGAAAACTCCAAGTCGTACAAGTTTTCCTTACCTAGTCGAAAAACGTTGTCGACACAATGGTCATCTTTAAATTAGATCAAAATATATCATTAATCCCCATAGTTTAGAAAAGCGATATTTCGTCCCCTAAACTTAAAAAAATAAATTTTATTGCTTATTCTAGTCTTTAAATTTAGGATAAACTACATGATTGATCACTTATATTTGTGATTTGTCCATTTTTTCCTAATTGATTTCAAGAAAAAATAATATATGATCACTTTCGTTTTTATTTAATTAAAATGTGGTTACAACATATTAGATGTCTTTAATAGTTAACAGAATAGGAGACATGATATTTTAGTATAATCACACATTTGGTCCTTTTTATTATATATCTTTTCAATTTAATCATACTTTTAATAAATTAAAATAAATTTGATCCTCCAATTAAATAATACGAGTCGTTTATTAAATATATTTTTATTGTTAACTTCAAAATATTTTAACAAAAAATATATATTTTTTAAATCAAAATAAAAATAAAATATTTTTAAATTAAGTTAATAATAAAATATATTTAATGAACTACTAAAAAAAATTTAACATATATAAAATAATATGGAAATGACGTATATCATCATTCGATTGAAGGATTAACTTTATTTTAATTTAGGACTAAATTAAGAGAACACAAAAATAAAAGAGACCAATCAATATTCAACAGCAATTAACTCAAGATGACCATTTTTAATTAGATAAAAATAAAACTGATTATATGTTATGTTTTTTTAAAATCAATGAGGAAATATAAACAAGCATAAGCGATCAATGATGTATTACTCACTAAAGTATGCTTGATGAAAAATATTAACATCACCAACAATCGAACAAAGATTTTCAAATAAAAGTAATTTAATTTTAATTTTTAACATTCTAAGACAAAAATTAAAACTTAAATCTCGTTTAGCTACAGAAACTACCAGCATAATTTGACCTCTAACATATGACGAACAGTAATGGGTTCTCGGGCAACCTCGACTTAACCAGATCCCAATCCGAATTTATCCATAGACAGGTCTATCCAACATGGAAGGCATTCATATATCAAACGTGCTAATGAATTTTCCTCATCTCCTTCCTGAAGAAGAGAAATTTTGAGTTCTTTTGAATTATAATTCCATGGTAAACAACTGTGATCTTACTGTCTAGTAGGGTACAAGAAACATCATCAGCCTCGGTCAGTCGGATGCGCCACTCTGTTCCTCGGAACTGTTCCCACTTATAGATTGAACCACGGATGGAAAAGGCATCCCACTTGAATCATCTCACAAATGCTTTCAAATACACTTTAAGAGTACAAATTAAACTCGGCTATGACGATGTTCGTGTCAGAAAATCGTTAACTGCTAGACTAGCATCACCATGGGCAACGGCGTCTTCAGGATCAGGCATGAAGAGACTTGAAGATGAAGCCTGGACATTAAGAACAACAATGTCCAGTCAGAGTAAATATACCCAAACTTTCCTGTATCGGAGAAGTAAGAAAATGCACATGCGATACAAAAGGCAAACACCCACAGTCAGAACTTAAAATGAGATATTGCTAATTATCGAATGGCTAATATGATGAGGTTATCGGTACCTTAGTATCAAGTTGCATCTCTCCATTACTATCTGCAACTAGGGATGCACCATGTGCCTTCAACCAGTCAACACAGTCCTCCAATCCATCAGAGTCTTTATCATCACTTCCTTCATTTGTAGGCATACAACTGCTGAAGCCCAGCACCTGAGCAATGTACGAAACAGGAACGTGAGGACGATAAGATCGAGACATGCAGCTTACAGCCTTGTACCGCATTTTCTCAACATAGAGATCTGCAAAAATAACAGATGAAAGAAAAACCTTAGCATTCCCTTTGATATACACAATCAGTTCTAGCATTGAGATCACCCAAAGAATACAGTTTACCCATAAGGCATGGGTTCAAGTTAGGTGCCGTTTTGTATAATCTGAAGAACAAGACATAATTTCCTGAAGTCACTGATGCTCGAACTGCAAGTGCATGCTGAACAGCTTGATCCTTCTTTGCTTCATCAGATAACCTGGAAATCGGAGCGATAGGATCTTTTGTGTAAATATTCATAGCATCATTCAAGAAATCAAGGGAAAAATCATGCATAGATAAGCAACAGAACTAACCTTGACATTGATGATAAGAGATCTCTGTTGTTGTTTGAGTGCATTATAACACAAAGTAAATTATACGCAGCAAACTCCATATGGCAACCCTCGATTCCTTCAGCATAAAGGATTTTCAACTGTGATTGGCACTGAACCCATGGGAGGAAAAACAAAAGTAAATATGATTAAAAATGTAAAATAGTAAAACATATCTTTATATATTTACATTCATTATATCCCACTTTGCAACAAATTCCAGTTGCCAAATCTGTCAAGATGGTGGACGCTACGCGCCAGCTGACTTAAAATGGCATTACATCCAAAACTTTCTGACACTAACGATAAACTTATGGTGAACTTTTTACTCGAACCTTTCAACTGAAACACATTTTTTTTATGTAAAGCCAAAGTAAGCCATCTTCACAAATGTGCATAATTTTATCAACCATAAAACATCTAGAGACTAATCAATATGATCGTACTACAGTAATATTGGCTACATTATTAGGCATTACTGGACAACCAACGATGTCACCAAAAGAAATAAAACTAGCATGCTAATTATTCATACAATAGCCATACACACCAATCACTAGTGTCCATATGTGTGTTTTAGACTAAATACTTAAAAAGCCCTTGTACATTTCCAAGTTCTCGAGATAAGCATACTTAATAACAAATTAACATATATTTTTGTGCAATTAAACCCTCAAAGTACAATTTTTATCTACCAAAGCCATTAAAATATTATGTTTGTGTAGTTAAACCCCTATGCGTAACATATTTCTTCTCCTTTTCTAATGAGAAAATGGGTTAAATTAAAACAAAAGTAATACATAAAGGGCTTAATCGAGTACAAAGAAGGATGAGGGCTCTTTCAGTACTTTAGCTGTTTGTTTTATATGCATTTCTGTAAAAGCACAATATGTTAATTTAGCTCGACAAACAAAGCTAAGTGCTAGTTTGGGCGCAAGCATTCAGCCATATCTGGTACACAAAAGAGCTGAAAACAAAACGATTATGGGAAAACAGAATTTAGTTCCGTCAACCAACCATCTGTTATATGTTACACATTTTAATAAAAGCAGGTAAACAAAAGTCATTCCAAAAAGGAAATCATAACAAACTGTATTAAAATGCAAACCTGGTTATACTCAGGCAGGTCCCCAACTTCCAATGCAAATCGAGCATGAGTTTCATAAACCTTATTATCAGTGAAATTAAACATGAAAATCAGTATGATATCCAGGAAATATAAGTTTTAGAAAAGAAACCCATCCACATCATGACATCAACATAATCCTATTTTATTTTCCCTGAGACAGGGTTATGCATCAGATTACAGATATACCTTTACTGTTAGCTGGTTAAGAATTCTTTGGACAGTTAAGTCTTGGCGTATAGACTTCAACTGATCACACTTATAAAGGTAGTTCTTCTGGGAATTTTTAACCATAAGCAGAGCTTTTTCCAGAACTTCTTCCGATCTTACCTGTAAATCAACAAGGATGCAACAAAAAAAATGCAAATATGGCATCATTCTTTTTAAATATTTCAAAAGATGGACGCAAAGATTACAAGAATAAAATGAAATATTGATGATTACAGTGGAGGGATCTGGAGCAGAAGTAAGACGCAAATAACGTTTCTCTATTTCCTGGCATGTTCCTTTCACAGTTAGTGAATCCCAGTCAATGTCTTCAACAGCTCTGCTGCCACCATCTTCAAAACTTTTGCTAAGCACCAAAGCAGTAGTCATTCTAGCATATAGATTTCCAGTGCCAGCATTTTTGGCCTTAAAGTGATTAATTTCTGCTCGATTACCTTGCACTTTCTCAAAACGCTTGGAACGATTTTCACGTCTCTTTCTCTCCTCTGGAGTATTAGCAAGTGCAATAGCACCAGAATAATATGCTGTTAAATTTTGCTCATTCTCACTATCGCTAGATGCATCACCATTATCAGCAGCACTTGCATCAGCAAGACGCTGTCTCTTTACTTGTCTCTGGAAAGTTTTACTAGCAGATTTCTGCTCCATCTGTGGAAACCTAATCTTTTTCATAATATCAGACTTCACCTCAGAATTTGCTCCTGTAGGCTGCACGATAATTTGTTCAATGAAGAAAGCCTGTTAAATTATTTGGAGCACAAGTGCAATGCCTTGAGAACCAATGATAATACTAAACCCTTATCAAAAAAAAAAAAGAATGCTTAAATTCTAGCACAGAATTGCAGCAAAAGAACAAATTCAATGGAATTAAATGATACCTTTCTGTCCTTTTCGTCAAGATGAATTTGGCTACTATATTTTGCAGCAAAATTGTTCATAGAACTCAATTTGTCAACTGGCTTCTCTTCCAATAGAGGCTCCCACCTACTCTTGGACCGTTTAGTTGGACTCTTCTTGTACTTCGAAAATGAAGAAAAAGGGGTTGGATTTTGTGAATTGCTGTGATATGATAAAAAATGAAAGGAAGAGGCGTGAGAATTGAGGCATAACAAATTATTTACTAGAACCAAAACAAAGCCACATAATTCAAGATAAAAAGCAAGCCACAAAATCAAGCACTGGTGGGGAACTGGAATGAACACCTCTTATCAGCCATATCAGTATTTGGTATTGTGAAGAGAGGCTCGGCATCCCAGTCTCGTGTATGAATCGTACCATCACTAGTTGCCTTGGTAATTATCTGAAAGGGGACAGTAGGCGGTGAAAGACAGTATTATATGAATCCAGCAAAATATAGAAGAGCATACAGCTATTGCAAGTAGAATAATAAAAAGATAAAAATGAACTCAACTAACCCAAAATATCTCCAAATATACATCTAATGAATCGGCGTCAAAAATATAATAGCATATGTGTAGGAGATTAAAAAGTTGTAAAAGTTCAGTCCATAAGGCCAGGCACATGAATCATTGATCTCAATCTTCCTTTCCAGTGGACCCAATACCCACTTTTAAATGCTATAGTCACAAATATAAGAAGTCAGCAAGAGAAGGCCAGCCCAGTGACTATAGGCCGTCCAAGATTCAAGTTAGCCTCCTCCTTGCTCTGTCCAGTTGTAAAGATACAATTGCAGTAGTGGAACACAAATAAATTGCATTTAAATAATTTGTAATTAAGAGCATTTAAGAATTCATTAACCCAACCTCTTTAAAGAGTGTTTGATTACCATGCATTATGAAGGAAGTCATTTTGCATATAATTCTGAAAAACAGCTACCAAAATTTTATTTAAAAAAATACCCTCACCTCCTTCATGATTTCCTGGCAAGCTGCTGATTGCTTTTCGTCCTTACATTGAGACAATGCCCTTTGAACATAATTCTTTAATGACTTGGGGAACACACCATTCTGCAAACAACAAAGCAGCCATTAATTGTTGTTCCAAAATCTGCCATACCTAATCCATGAGTCTTTTTTTTCTGTGAAGGAGGAGGTAATTGAGGGTCCTTGAAGTGAACTATAGAATCTAAAGACCGTAGAATATAAGAACAATTTCCACAAGTAATTTAAGCCTAAATCATCATCTACCACATTGGTTCTAAGGTGCATCTTAATTCAGTACTACATAATCAAGCAAGTTAAGCCATATTAGCAGCCAAATATAGAAAGGAAGATCGCAGCTTAAATGATTAACAAGACTACCACAAAATAATGGATGAGCATATAACACATGGTACAGTAAACACTGACAATTATGTATACATAAAAATATTTTAAAACAACATTAGTTCAATGTTATGATAATATCCCATATGATTTACAGACACAGCAAAGCTAAATAACCCCAAGCATTATTCAAACAAACATTAATCATAAGAAAACAGGTTCAGAACTATATACAGTGTTTCCTAGGCATCCATCACCATATTTGGCATGTAGAATAACTAGAATGAGGTCCTCATCATTGACTTGCACACTACTAGCATTCAAATCTTTTCTATGTACATGAAAATACCTCCACTATGCTGTCAAATCCTGTAACATTAAATCATCAACTCTTATATAAAAATCTATGTCACTAATGGCGTGATATAGTTTGCAGAACTTTAAGAAACAAAGAAATTCAGATTAGACAAGATATATATATTTCAGGTGCTCTTGCGCAGATGCTCAACCTAGTTGCCAGAAATCAACTTTCTTACTCGCCTCATTTTTGCAGAGAAAATTGTAGTAGGATAATTCTACGTTGTTTACTTAATTCCAAAGAAAAAAATATGCAATCAAATAAGAAAGCTCACCTTGAATGCAGAATCAGCTGCATCATTGGACAACACTTTTTCACTGGATTTTGGCTGGGAGACACTTATATAAGCAGGTTTTGCTATTGCACTGTTGTTAAAACCCTCTTTGTCCAATTTCGGCAATCCCAATGGTAAATTAGAGGCAATTCTGGGATTTGTTTGAATCTGCAGTTTGCTTACCCTCTGCGTCTCTGAAGATTGAACAATTTGTGCAGGTGGTTGGTAATTTTGAGGTGCCGACGGAGCCACGGGATACTGTAAATTGGGAGGTTGAGGGCAAGCAGTTTTCTGTTGTTCCTGAAAGTTACTATATGAAGATTTTGAATACAAAGGCTTCACAAAATGTGGTTGTACAGGACTAGGATGCTGATTTTGAAAACTTGGAACCCCGTGTGTCAGGTAACTATCATAAGCACCAGTAACTGTTGCACCAGGCTGACCAAAATGTGCACAAAAAGATGAAAAAGAAATTAAGTAATAAGCATCCAAAGAAAGAAATTACTAACATACAATATAGCAACAAGAACTGCATGATACAATTCATGATGCACTCTAATATGACAAGTAAATAAAGTTATCATTTTCCTCCCAGCTATACCATGAAACCCACCTTGCATTCTGGGTGTACCATATAGGATACTAATTGCTTTCTAATTCAGGAGTATTGATTTAACTAAAATATTAAATAACTTCAAGAAAAGTCGAGCATGCAATAGAATCAACGCTATTATCACAATAAGCATACATGGGATAAGAAAGCAAGCAAACCATACAAGACACAATATAGGGATCATTATTACTGTTAAAACTAAGCCCTTGCTTTGCATTAAGAAACTTACTACCTAAAATTGCTCACTGATACAAGTTGGAGACACTGAAAGAACCGAGGAATTTGAAATAATCATATTTGCATCATAACAACATGGATAAACATATTGTGATTCGATAGATTATATGCCATTACAACATCATCCACTAAAAACAATAATGCTAGTAGTATAATGTTTTAAAGTCAGAACAATGAGTTAACACCTAATAAATTGTTAGATTTAAAAGTAATAATGGTCCCAATTTTACCACAGGGAGGCAAAATGTTGGTCTAACTTTGAAACAAACTTTTCCCAATACAGCATTCATAGCATGCTCTAATTAGTTTCAAAGAAAGAAAGTATATTTTATAAACTTCCAAAACCCTTAAAAGCAATGAAATCTTACCTGGGGGAAGCATCCAAAATTCATTACCTAAATATGTAGAAGAATAGCTAATAGGGTATAATATATATCCCAGTAAACAAAAAATTTATCAATAAGGATCACACACAAAATAGTGCACCTATCATATAGTACATCAAATCCAGCAAAATAGAAACATAAGTAACAATGTGCAAAACACACTTCAAATAATCACCTCCAATATATAATACAGCAAAAGGCATAAACATAAACAAATAATAATAATGACAGAATGCACACATTAAGATTAGTAGATAACTCAAACAAGTAATAACCATACATGAAATCAGCTAATCCTGGATCATGCATGCAACACAAACTCAAACCTGTGACAAAGGTGTTTGAGATGAACTGGACTCTGGCCTCCAAGGTGGAGCAAAAGTTGTAGGGGCTTGACTGTTTGAAGTGGGATATCCACCACTAAAACCAGGAATCTGGGACACCTGAGACTGTTGAGTGGATGAGCTACCAACAGACAAGTTTTCTGTTCCAGGAGCACAACTAACTTCCGTCAGATTGTGATAATCAACCCACAGCTTGTAATGCTGCTGATAATGCAATGAATTTGCATCTGCATTACCAGCAGCATAAGCCCCACTTGTATCTGGAGGGTAGTTTGAATACTGGTGATGAGTAGCATAATTTGCATAATTGCCTCCATTCCATGTGGTAGTCTGATGAGTGTAACTGCTACTTGGATAACCTCCAGCTGTCTGATAATCACCAGGATTGTAGTAAGTGCTTGGATAACTTGTAGGCCCAGCATAAGACCCTGTATTCTGAAATGAGGAAAAAGGCTGATATGGAGCACCTGTGTTTTGATATGCTCCTACTGGCTGAGAGTAAGATGGGTTAGGTTGTTGCTGATAACCACTATAGTAACCTTGGTAACCTGTGCTCCCATGTGAATAAGGATCAGCAGAATTTGAGTATGAAGTATAGGCACTAAAGTCAGATTGTGCATTTGTCGCTCCTAAGCTCGATGACATAGCAAGCGAGGCTGCATTAGACCCATCCTGGACAGTTCTTGAGGATGGCTCACTGTGCTGGACATGGGGGTAAGTGGAATTTGAAAAACTTCCATTTTCTGCAGAGTGATTATCTACCCTATACATGTTCCATAATGCAGCTTCCGAACCAGCTGTAGTGGGAACATATAAAGACGTCTGGCCTTGACTTGCATTAACAACATACTGATTCTGAGAAAAGGAAAAAAAGTTCATGAATGCCATAGGAAGGCATGAACCAACCAAAATAACAGAATCAGATGCCAATTAATATGAAAGTAAATAACCTATCTAATATAAAGTTCTCCAAAATCAGATTACTTATAAAAGATGCCATTATCACGGATGTAGTAAGCACTAAGCACAAATCAAACCAGCCACCACATAAAAACCTGTGTTTTTTCAAGCAAACCGTTGATGTAAACTCACACCCAATTCACAACAAGAAAACTCCACAACCTATATAAACATCTTACAAACTTCAAACCCAGTATTCATAACAAATAATGTCTTTATGTTCATGATTTCCATACTTCTGTAACTGTAAACCAATCTAGTTCATAACAAACAAATTCTGCCTCGCACGAAAGCCAAAAGATTCAAACCGTACTAAACAGTTCTGTAACTACAAACTGAATTCCTTGCAAACAATAGCACTGTCTTCAAACTAAGATTATGGAACCCTTTAATGTTTGAATGAATTCTATATACAAACCCAATTCGCGACGCAAACATTCCTTGTTTCAAAAATGCTTAAGGAGAATAACCTAACCTAACCCTTCAACCCTAACCACAAGCTATATTACCAACTTCAATTTTTGACTTCAACACCTTTGTCATCCAATTCTAAAGTAACTACAGCAAGCAACACTATCCACCACAATATTACCTAAAGCACTAAAATCTAAATAAACAACTTAGAATCTTCCATCACAAGCTTTACTACAATCTTTGATTTTCAATTTCGAAAATCCAAAGCAAATTCGTAAGAAAGACTACTATTAATTTACTACCTCTAGTATTCAATCTCAACACTTCATTAACCAAACCATTACCTAAATCAACTTCTTTAGCCATTGTAGCATTTTCTCGAAACAAATAAAAAAGGGAAATTACCTCAACAGAGTTCGGGTCAACTGATGCTAATGTTTGCGTATTAGTAGCTTGATTCATCATTTCATCATCATCCCTATATTTCACTAAATACAAAAGAGAACAAACAGAAAATTAGCACCGAAGAAAAAAAAAGAACTATTAATCGTATCAAATCAAGAATTAAGTCACCCGGAAGAGGTAAAAACATTTGCATTGAAATAATATTAGAAAAATTGGGGGAAATACAACAAAACCCTAATTAAATTTAAAGGAAACTGACCAACTTCTTACCTTAAAAGAACCCTCGGAATCGATGTGGGAGAACGTATTTAGCAGCAAATAACACAGTTTTGAGGTCAAAGGACAAAACCTAGAAAGGGAAGAAAAATTATATGCCAAATAATTGGATATTATGGGTTTGATCAAGTAAAAAGAATAAAAACCAACAAAGAGTAGAGAATAAAGAGAAAAAAGTATATTGAATTAAAAGATAATAAACCCACGAGCGAGAAGAAACGACAGACAGAGGAGAAAGAGAATCGGAAAGTTAGAATTGGAAAACAAAATAAATATAAGAAGCAGAAGAAGAAAAAGATGAAAAAAAAGATTTGATAGTAGGTGGATTTTAATTGCTTTGGGCCGAGCCGTCGAAATCTGTACAAAACCGGACCGGCTTGAGGAGATTTCTCTATTAAAAAACCCAACTTGATAGGTATAGAATTATTGTTTCCGGTACTATTATTAACAATAGAATTTTTTGGTTAAATCAACTTTTTTTACTAATTCTATTATGAACTAAGTTTAATTTGTTAATCTATTAATTTTTATTTTAATAAATAAAATTAAATAAACTAGTATTGTGCCAATAATTAGTTTGATTAAATTCTTTTAGTACTCTAGTAAGAAGGATTTTCTCGAATCATTAATGATTCATTTTATCATATGACTATTTTTCTCGCATCTGATGATTATATTAAAAAAAAAATTGTTTTTAAGTGTCGTAACCGTCTTTCGGTTGGGCCCCGGAATTAGGCTTCGACTTAAGAAAATGGATTGGAGTCGCCACCGATCATTTATTTAAAAATAAATGGGTTGATCGGATACCCTATTTCTTACCTGATCTGCGTCTTACCAGAAATATGTCGGGCTCGGGAGTCGGTTACGGTCAAGGAAGGATTAGCACCCTTGAACCGCCCTTTCGGTACTACGTAATTTCCAGTTGTCTTAATTAAGAAAAATAACAAGTTAAATTAAAAGGTAAAGTTTCGACCCCAATTACTTACCCTTTATTGATTTGAAAATATCCTTAAAAAATCGAGAAATGTGTTAGATAAACAAGGTAAATAAAACAAATAAAGTAAAAGGGAAAAATAAAATAAATAAAATAAATAAATAAGATAAAGGAAAAAAAATAGTAAAGTAATAATTATATATAATAATATTTGAAAAAGGAAAAAAATATATATATATATATATACATCAAAGTATTAAAAAATAGAAAAGTTACCCTCTCACTTCACCGAAAGTGAGGGGCTTTAGTCAGAAATAAGATAAAAAAATGGGTCCTCTAGGTTAGTAATATATAATATAATGTTTAATAATAATAATGATAAAGACACAAATTTTTTTTAAAAAAATAATATAATAATAATAAATAAAAAACGAAAATAATATATATATATAAAGTTATAAGATATATTACGTAAATAAAAAAAATAATCAAATAAAAATAATTAAGAATATATATATATTAATAATAGGTATATAAATCAACCATTAAAAGTATAAAAAAATATGACTAGATAAAGATAATTACAATATATATAGTAATAATAGACTCATAAGTAGAATATTAAAGAAATATATATATATATACATATAATAATAATAACATAAATAATAAAAATAAATGAATAAAATATCCATATAATAAATAAAGGGACTAATATAGATTTTTAAAAAGCTCTTCCCCTCCTTTAACCGAAAATCAAACCGGTTTTTCAAAATAAGCCTCGGGGTAGATCTAGGTTCGAAACTTCGAAACCCTACCCATTTTGGTCATCGGCGCAACCCACGTTTTGGGTTATTCGAACCAAATCTCAAGAAAAATAACGTGCACATGCAAAAGAAAGAAAAAAGAAAATGCTACCTTTTATTTCCTTTTCGAATCCTTTACAATAGCTTTGCCTTTGTATCTTCCCGTGCTTTCCTCTATGTTTTGTATGTAAATCGTGTCTTCAAATGGTGAGTTACAATGGCTATTTATAGTGCTTGTGGATCCTATCTTTAGGAATTTAAATAATAGTAGAACTCTATCCTATTTTTAGGAGTTTGAATCCTAGCAAAATTTTATCCTATTTTTAGGAGTTTGAATCCTAAAATTCTATCATATTTTTAGGAGTTTGAATCCTAGTAGGACGAAAAATGTGTGTTGACAGCTGCCCCTCTTTGCCCATAGTCGTGTAACGGGGATAGGGCAAAGATTAAAAGACACACTTTTCGTTCAGTGGAGTTGAAAATTAACTCTGATGTTTCAATAACTCCCTGTCGAATTGAGTTACGGATTACTCCTCCATCGTGAAGTCGAGTTCATCTTGAAATGATATGAAATTAAAGCCGTAGTTCGGAATTTGAATCGGCACGTGGCTTCCCGTTACCCTTCGGTCTTCTTCTCGGTTTAAAGACCTTGGATCGGAATTGAACTCAGAAATCTTCATTGACAGATAGCTTTTTCTTGACTTAAGCTATGTTGTTTGAAAATGGTTGCTTGTCACTAAGGCACGGCTAACCCAGGTCCTCTTCTCGACTTGAAAACCTCGACTGCAATCGGAAAGTAGTGCGATTGATGTGTCATCGAGCTGAATGGAGTCGAACTCGACAATTTTGATGGCAGATAATCCTTCTTTGAGTTGGATATCCTTCGTCGTGAAGTTGAAATCCAAGTAAGTAGCATTGTTCCAAGTCCAATATCCTCCGTCGTGAAGTTGAAATTGGCTCTGGAACCGGGAAATTGTTTGTTGACAACCAGCCGTCCCTTCGTTGTGAAGTTGAACTTGTGTTGTCTCGAGTCCAATATCCTTCGTTGTGAAGTTGAAATTGAATCTGAATGAAATTTTGTTGACAAGCAGCGGTCCCTTCGTCGTGAAGTTGAACTTGCGTTGTCTGGAGTCCAATATCCTTCGTTGTGAAGTTGAAATTGGCTCTGAGATTGGGAAGTTGTTGTTGACAAGCAGCGGTCCCTTCGTCGTGAAGTTGAACTTGCACTGTCTGGAGTCCAATATCCTTCGTTATGAAGTTGAAATTGGCTCTGAGATTGGGAAGTTATTGTTGACAAGCAGCGGTCCCTTCGTCGTGAAGTTGAACTTGCGTTGTCTGAAGTCCAATATCCTTCGTTGTGAAGTTGAAATTGGCTCTGAAATTGAGAAGTTGTTGTTGACAAGCAGCGGTCCCTTCGTCGTGAAGTTGAACTTGCGTTGTCTGGAGTCCAATATCCTTCGTTGTGAAGTTGAAATTGGCTCTGAAATTGAGAAGTTGTTGTTGACAAGCAGCGGTCCCTTCGTCGTGAAGTTGAACTTGCGTTATCTGAAGTCCAATATCCTTCATTGTGAAGTTGAAATTGGCTCTGAAATTGAGAAGTTGTTGTTGACAGGCAGCGGTCCCTTCGTCGTGAAGTTGAACTTGCGTTGTCTGAAGTCCAATATCCTTCATTGTGAAGTTGAAATTGGCTCTGAAATTGAGAAGTTGTTTGTTGACAACCAGCCGTCCCTTCGTTGTGAAGTTGAACTTGTGTTGCCTCGAGTGCCACGATATCCTCCTTCGTGGAGTTGAAATCGCAGATGGCCCCTTCGTTGTGAAGTTGAGCCTTGACTTGAATATCCTTCGTCGTGAAGTTGAAATCCAACTATTGTATGTTGCGGGTGGACACAATTCCCTTCGCCGTGAAGTTGAAACCGTGGAGACCCCTTTATTGTGAAGTTTGGCTTCGAGCTAGATATCATTCGTCGTGAAGTTGAAATCCACTCTCGAGCAAATCGTGTCGCTTTGAGTTCAATATCCTTCTCCGCGAAGTTGAAATTGACTCTAGCTAAAACCTGAAAAAGTTATGCATATATGTGATGCTATGGATGCAATGCTCTTAGGTGTGCCTAAAATGCATATGCAACATATGTTATCTTGGGGCTCTGGAGAGAAATCTCGATCTCCAGTTGCCTGTCTGGAATCTTGATTCTTGAATCTTCAAATTTTGATCCCTGATCTTGAATTCTTCAAATGTTCAAATCTGATGTGCACATTCTATTTTTGATTTGAGAAATGCTTCTCGACCATCTCAAGTATGTGCCTGAGCTGAGTGTAACGGTTCAGATGATGCTTCAAAAGAATTTGTCTTGAAAGAGATAGAATTCGTTTCAAGGGAAAAGATCTCAAAGATATCTGTTGTTTCATGAGAAACGGTCTCAAGGGAAACAAAATTATGTTTTAAGGGAAATAAATTTGAAGATTTTGTGTTTCAAGAGTAACTGTCTCAAGGGAGACAAAATTTTTTTTAGGGGAAATAAATTCAAAGGTTTTGTTTCAAGGGAAACTGTCTCAAGATAGACGAAAATTGTTTCAAGAGAAACTGTCTCAAGAGAGACAAAACTTAGTTCCAAAAGAAACTGTCTCAAGGGAGACGGAATTTGTTTCAAAGAAAACATATTCAAATATTTTGTTTCAAGGGAAACTGTCTCAAGAGAGACAAAATTTATTTCAAGGGAAACTGTCTCAAGATAGACGAAATTTGTTTCAAGAGAAACTGTCTCAAGAGAGACAAAATTTGTTTCAAGGGAAACTGTCTCAAGAGAGACAAAACTCTTCTAGTGAAAACGGTCTCAAGCGAGACAAATCTTGTTTTAAGAAAAACAATCATGAGTGAAATAAATCTTCTTTCGAGTAAAACAGTCCCAAGTGAGACAAAGTCTGTTTTAAAAAAGCAATCTCAAGTGAGATAATCATCTGCATTAAATGAGACTGTCTCAAGCGAGACAGAATTTATATTGGAAATGTCGAATCTGAAAATGAATATCGATCTTTCTGTCTGTCGAGTTGGTTGAAGTGTAGTTTCTTGCTGCTGAGCTAATCAACCGACATCAATCTGTAAAGGTGCTTTTGAATCGAGTATCATTCGTCTTGAAGTCGAACTTGACTCTAAAGCTGTAAAAATTATGTACGTGGAAAGAAAATGATAGATATGACGCTCTAAAATGTATGCATAAGATGCATGTAACATGAATTGGTTATATTTTATCTCCTGAAAAAGGTCTGATAATTCGCATTAGGATGTTGAATCCCCAAAGATGCCTCAATATCCAAAAATGCCCCAATATTTGATGTTGAATCTTCAAAGATACCCCAAATGTTCCTCATTTCTTGCTTCACCATTGATTCTAAGCATGAGCTTTGTGTTTGAGAGTCACATGTCATTTACCAAGATTCACTCTAGAGAGACTGTCTTGTTTGAAAAAAAATGTTTTTCTTTCTCTTTTATTTTCAAAGTCATGAAAA